TGTCTCTTCTACATCAACATGTGTCCCCTCTTCTTCATGTCTCTTCTACATCAACATGTGTCCCCTCTTCTTCATGTCTCTTCTACATCAACATGTGTCCCCTCTTCTTCATGTCTCTTCTACATCAACATGTGTCCCCTCTTCTTAATGTCTCCTACATCAACATGTGTCCCCTCTGTGTAAAGAGACTCTGAAAGTTTCAGGAACAAAGATTCTCTCTCTTTTTGTCCTGATCCATTTATATAAAAACCTGTCTGAAAATGAGCTGATCAGATTTTGGCCACTTTATGATGTCATAACGATGTGTTGGCTTGTGTAACCATTAGCCAATCAGCAACCAAGGTAACCCCCCCCCACCACCTTATCACCTGAATCTCCTCCTAGAGCACCATTGGGTTATTTTTAACCAAATGTCTCTCAGAGGGGTGTGGGGAGGGGCTCCTTATTTTCATCTAAAGTATCAGACAGAGAATCAGCACTTTGGAAACAGGGCTGAAACAGAGAGGATTATGGGTAATGCTGCAATGATCCGCTTGGTGTTTCAGCTAATCAGAGACAGGTTCTGTATATATCTGAGACCTGTAATATATTGATGAAAAACAGTATAATAGGGGAAGTGTTGTGTATCAGTCATTGCTCACTGTTCTCCTGCTCTCTGTTCACAGCTACGCCAGTGGAGGAGAGGACGGCTACACTAGGATTCATTGCTTTGACCCACAGTACTTTGACTTTGAGCTGGAGGCTTAAACAGACGACTTCTCGATCAAGAGCATTTACAGTCAACCACCGCGCCTTCAGTCAGATTTTTTCTTAATAAAGCGGTCTGCAGAGGGTTCTTGGTGTTTTTTTGAGTCATTTTCTAACATCAATTGGGGTCTGTTCTTTAGTGGGATCCAAAGTCCTTTCTTTAAACCCTGGATCTGCGGGTTTATCGTGACTGACTGGACTTCAAAACCCACACTCCCTGATTCCCAACTCTTTTTAATCTGATTCTACACATAAGTGGAATTTGAGTTGATATATTTTCTGTTGTAAGCCATTCCACCACAAGTCACCATAAAATTACTGATATCAAGTTGTGTCTGTGTGATTTATGCAACATTGTGTTATTCTTTCACATAGAAACACCCTATATGATCTAGTCCAATCGGTTACCTATTAATAGCTTACTATAATAAGAATGATATATAGTTTGGATGCAAACATTTACCGAAATGGGATCACGTTCTTACTTTTTTGAATTACCCTATACTATTACTCGCTACTGACATACCTTAGTATTTACGTCTGAACTAGTATACATTATTAAAAGTATCAGGCAAGTAATAAGTATAGTATGTGGCAGGAAAGGTCTTAGTATATATTTCTTTTAAAGTCATATTTTAGTGTGTGAAAAAAGTCATAGAATGTTGGAAATATATATACAAATATTTTTTATATTTTGATGCATCATAACCGCTTTGATACAAAGACAAGTATTCTTTGGTCTGCTGTCATTAGTTATCAACCTAATGTTAATAAGTTCAGTTATAACTAGACCTCGTAAACTCTACTCAAGCGGTTTAAAACTTCAGTTTCTTTCCCTCACAGCTGTTATATGACAGGTGTCCTGAAAAGTAGTTTCTTAAGGTCTTTATTCCCATAGTTTAAAGGTAAGGGTAGGGTAGGTAACTTAAGAATAGAGAAACCAGCTCGAGTGCGCTAAAATTTGAAAGTAAGCAGTCCTTCAGACTTCCTTGCAGAGCCCCTCCTCCAACACACAGGAACGCGCACATGACCAATGAGGGCACGAGATACATTTGTGCACAGATGGAAGGCTGAGAGGCAGGTAGGCCATCCAGTCACTTTAGCCGGGCCGGCTCAGATGATTGGTCGTGCTTTTTACAGCGCCACGGCTTCCACAGATGAATTTGTTATGTATTTAGCATTTAATATATATTCATTGCTATCGGTATGTTAAGAGCATTCCATGGAATATAACAAGTGTTTCTGAAGAGAATTACCTACCCCACCTTTAACAGACATATTTAAAAAAGAACCCGGACCCATCTGCTTTTGGGGAAATTAAGGGGAACATCATAGACTAAATAGACCACCTCGGACACATTTCTGACAAGTAACCCCCCCCCTAGTGTCAAATATCTGAAATGTGACATGTCACATTGGGCTTTAATGGTAAAATAACTCTTATTTATAACTTAATTAATGAGGATAATTGTTTGGTTGAAATTAGTTTGAACATTCTTTGAATTGAAGAATAAGAACATTAACTCAATATAATTGAATCAGCTAAATTAACTGAGCAGATCATAATCTTATTTCTAAGTGTGCATAAATGTCAGTTTGGGTTTACTGTGAGGGTAAGTTTAGGGTTAAAGTCCCGATGTGGCACCAGTGTCACAGCGATGTTTGTCTCATTTGTTTCATATCAATTTGATCAAGAAATGTTTCCACAACAGCTTAAATGTAATAAAGGACATGTTATGCAAGCATTTTAATTCTTAAATGGCTTGAATTTTAACTTTAGCAACAAAAAAAAAGCTTTTGAAATGTCGCTCATGTCATATGTTAGCCTGGCGCATGGACATCTTGGACACGTTGTCATGGGAACACAAAATCAAATGACCTAGCCAGGACCCAGCAGACTGTTTAGGGTGTGTCACTTAGGGACTTCATGAGATAAAACCAACGCTAAAGCTGAATAAGGAACTTTCCAGAACATTTAAAGTTCATGTGACACCCGTGTCACGGTGGTTCCTTATGGGTTAAGTATACTATGCGAGAAAAAGTAATAGTATGGTATCAGGGTATATGCAGGAATACTGAGGTCAAATTTAATACCTTTTAAGACCTTTTTTAAGACCCTTTCCATACATTTTAAGACCTCATCGCAACTTTGAGTTCTAACCGGTTACATTGGCGACACACTTTACCTCACATTTACTATATTGATTGTAAGATAGCACAACTAAACAGAGTGCAGACAGACTACTGAAGCCTCCTCTCCACATGAACTTCAACCTCTCTGTGAAGGTCAGGTTTAATGCAGTATGCTGCTTTGTTGCTTCTGTACTCTGTGCTCTTTCATTCCAGTAAAACTCCTCAGAAACCATTAGAAACCAGTATTTGACCAATAAACCAAACAATTGACAAAATTTGAACTATGAAATATATTAAACTTTGGTGAGCTTCAGCGGGCTAATGCCATATAGGAGCTCCCTCACAAATACCCAGGGGTTAAATTGGGCTGGGGCTGTCCGGGGCTAAGCCCTGGCACATAGGACGATGCTCTGACGTCATCACCCTCACACATTTGTCNGTGTATCCATCATTTCCTGGTCTTCTCTAAAGAAGAGGGACCAATGAAAACGTTGTCATGTTGCCGTTGTTCACCATGGAAACATTCATTAGCTAACAATGACATTATTGTTCTATTAATATAAAGGGAGGTCAGGTACTCTTTAAAACAGCTGCTAGTTATGGGTACTTTTTACTGAAGTACATTTCAAAGCCTCTTTACTTTTACTTGAGTAAAGTTTGTGTGTACTTTCTCCATCTCTGGTGGTTTGTGAATCCTCTGATGCTGAATCGTTTCTCTTCAGGTGTACACTTCAGGTAAAGGCAGCAGCGCCGCCGGTCTCACCGCCTCAGTTCTGAGAGACCCCAACACCCGGGGTTTCATCATGGAGGGGGGGGCCATGGTGCTGGCCGACGGAGGAGTGGTGTGCATCGACGAGTTCGACAAGGTAAGAAAATAAAAGTGTTTTTGTATTATAGTGGTGCAGGGATGACTTATTACTAGAAGTAGACCCTGAAGGCACCATCTCCCTGGTTCCCTACACAAGAGGACAATGGGATTTTTATATAGGACGCACGGTCACATGACTTCACGTCACCACCGCTAAGCTAAAGGAGGCTAATGTTGGGCTATAAAGGAACTACAGCACGGTCACATGACTTCACGTCACCACCGCTAAGCTAAAGGAGGCTAATGTTGGGCTATAAAGGAACTACAGCACGGTCACATGACTTCACGTCACCACCGCTAAGCTAAAGGAGGCTAATGTTGGGCTATAAAGGAACTACAGCACGGTCACATGACTTCACGTCACCACCGCTAAGCTAAAGGTGGCTAATGTTGGGCTATAAAGGAACTACAGCACGGTCACATGACTTCACGTCACCACCGCTAAGCTAAAGTTGGCTAATGTTGGGCTATAATAAAAGGCACGGTCACATGACTTCACGTCACCACCGCTAAGCTAAAGGTGGCTAATGTTGGGCTATAATAAAATGAACTACAGCCTAAAAGGTGGCGTATTTTATGGCGTAGGACAAAACTTTATAATCTATGATGACTCATTTCTGGGTTTTAGGACTCATTCCTGCGCCACTCTTTAGACGGAGGAAGTTTGATTTAATTTGTGTTTGAGGATTAAAGTGATATATTTTGTTGTATTTCAGATGAGAGAGGACGACAGAGTGGCCATTCATGAAGCCATGGAGCAGCAGACCATCTCCATCGCCAAGGTATTTATACACTTGTGTTTTTTTAACTCCTCACTTGAGACTTTTTAAGGCTTTAAATTGCTTTACATATTTATTTTGGTTTTGTTGGTGCATATGGCATGCATACAGACATTCACACTACAGTCTGTGAGATTAACCATTGAAACCAGTTAAAACCCCAGTTATTGATCCCACAACCATTACATCATAAATGTGTGTATTCTGTTATATATGAATGAAAATACCTTATTTATCCCTGGTAAATGTGAAAAAAAGAATATGTAAAAATTATCAACTTATTATTTCAAGTGCATTTTCGGGGCAGTTTCTCCGAGGGTTAAGATCCCAACGTCCCTCATGCACTGAACTAAACCCCCCCCCTCTCCTCCCCACAGGCCGGTATCACCACCACTCTGAACTCCCGCTGCTCCGTCCTCGCTGCCGCTAACTCTGTGTTCGGACGCTGGGACGACACGAAGGGCGAAGACAACATCGACTTCATGCCCACCATCTTGTCCCGATTCGACATGATCTTCATCATCAAAGACATCCACGACCACGAGAGGGACATGGTGAGGGTTCACTCACCGTTACTCACAGGAAGCGGGAACAATTAATTAATAATTGTTAATATGCAGTGGTTGGAAGTAGTGGAGTACGAATACTTTGTTACTGTACTTTAGTTCATGTTTCTGGTATCAGTACTTTACTCCACTACTTATTTTCTGCCGACTTTTTACTTTGACTTCTTACATTTTAAACACAAATACCTGTACTTTCTACTTCTTACATGTTGAACTCAAATACCTGTACTTTCTACTTCTTACATGTTGAACACAAATACCTGTACTTTCTACTTCTTACATGTTGAACTCAAATACCTGTACTTTCTACTTCTCTCATTTTCCAAACAGGCTGGTTCCTTTAGTCTGAATGTGTGTTTGGTGTCGTGATCATTATTATTTAGAGTCATTGCGTGCCTATTGATTTGAACACGATCCGTGTATCCATCATTTCCTGGTCTTCTCTAAAGAAGAGGGACCAATGAAAACGTTGTCATGTTGCCGTTGTTCAGCATGGAAACATTCATTAGCTAACAATGACATTATTGTTCTATTAATATAAAGGGAGGTCAGGTACTCTTTAAAACAGCTGCTAGTTATGGGTACTTTTTAC